GTACTTATATTAAACCAAATACGCTTTTTTCTCTCTCTATTTTAAGGTTTGTTAATGGATTCAAATAATTCTATATTAATTCAGAAAATATATACTTTATGTGAGTATATGGTTATGTTTAAAAAGCATTTGTTATTTCCGCCTTGTTGATTCAAGGTCAATTCTTTGTCTTATAACAAGAGGTTATAACCAATAGTATTCAATAATAGATTAGGCACTGATCGTCGTTTTATAATCACGACGAAACATTTGATTCATTGTATATGAAAACAGTAGTTGAAATAAAAACTATTTATCATTTTGACTTGAAGTTGTACAATTCATCTTCTATTTGGGTTTTGAAATTCATTGAAATTACTGCGAACTATCTAACTAGTCATTGATATTTTCAAATGGTTCCTAAACTGATAGTAGTTTCTGAGAAAAAACATTTTCTTCATGTATTTCAAGGTTTGTTAATGGATTATTAGTTCAAGACTTAATAGCATTCCACATTCCCCTCTATCACACCTTCACTCACATTCAGTCATTGACTCTCCTCCCATTTAGTTCTCTCTGCCGTTGTCTGTCTTAGTGGTTAGCACATTCAGCTGGTGGCAGACTGTAAATGATGATGTCTAATGAACTAGGTGGATCGTTGTGAAGATGTCATTGGTATTTTGAGTTTGACAACGCTTTAACCAGTAACACCTTCTAATATGAATCGTACCAACCAAGTGAAATCAGAAGACAGAAGTGAGGAGGTTCGAAGATATATTTGATAGGCTATCATTATGTCGAAGATCGACTGATCTAGACTGACTAGCGATTGCAGTGGATGTTGAGCACGGCGTGATCTGGTGCAGATGCATGACCGAGCGCCTTCAGTTAGGTGAGTCCATTAAAACTAATGTGGTCAGCATTCAATGTTGAAGACTTACAGAGCTACTTATTTTGGGGATGTATTTACCGCTATACTAGAAAGACGAAACGGCCGTCCAATGCTTCCAGGTTTTCCATAGTGTTCTAGCCTCACTTGACTAATGATCTCAATTATTGACATTACTATAATATCCAAAAAGCCCTTCTGGTACTAATGTAGTATCTATCTGAAAAATAGTTTAAGGAATAATTTCTATTGTTTTTAGACATGATGATGATATTGCATGATTTTAATAATAATACATCTTTGTAATCACGGTTAAACTAATGTGGAACCACATATGAATTGAATGTTAATGGGAGCTATTGAGAAAGAAAAATCTGGGTTATTTATATTATAAAGTTAGTTAAACTAATGATGATAGTAAGAGTTTTTAAAATGTTAATCAAAAACATGTTATTTATAAGCAAAGACGGATGGTGTTTCATCCTGATTGAAACTCGTCAGTTGGATGAACCTACATCAAAGAGTTGTTATTCACTCTGAAACTGGATGGCGTTTGAAGTAAATAGTATTGGGTTCGAGTTCCAGAGTGAAAATCAACTCTGAGAAACAGGTACATTCAGTTGATGGGTTGTGAATAGGGTGAAACACGATTCCTGACTTCCATTGCTATCCATCATCTGTCTCTGCTTATAATGCTTGAAAATTAAAGCAATACTGAAGCAATCTGCACAGAATGTATATATGCCAATAAAAGACTGATTAGTTTCAGTTCTAAACATCAATAGGTAGATTCCAACAAACTACAATAACTATGAGTAATACAATTTTTTTAACACTCATATCAGATGGCAACAAACTTTAACTTCTCTATAAGTGATACCAAGTGTAGATTCTTGGTGAATTCTACTAAAGAATTCTAAAAAATGGTTCTGAATCATATGTACTATGAATTTAGATAATTGAAAATAACCAATAAGAAACCATTTCTAACCTAGGTCTTATGCTAAACAGTATTCGTTAACAAAATGTGCACGAAATCTTGATGAAACAAATGTGTTATGACTTTATGTCCGGCTTTTTATCACGTCATTTATCCATCAATCAAAATACGACTTATACAATCTTAGCACTGTCCCAAAGCAATGATGTTCGACCGGTATGAGCAGCCGCCTAGCGTCGTTATTGGTCCTATATCCGCCTAGCCCGTCCACTTGAGTCCAGGACACCAATACCAGCTTCCACTATGCGAATCGAATCGAATCATTTATTTCAGACATACTCGGTTTATATATCAACCAAACAGACCACAACGCACCATAAAATAGAAAATAACATTTGTACACAATAAAGCCAAAAAGTGACTGTGAACGTGAGAGGCAGTAGTCAATAAACTGAACATAGCTTAAGAACAGTGAGTCGTACAACAATAAATTATAGGTCAAAATAAAGCTTATAATAAGAGGAATATAAATATGCATAATCTAATGATTGAACAACTATACCATAAGAATACGTGTATAATATTAGTCAATTAATATGTCTCAGAAGTTACTTGTGATTTAATCATCGCTCGGATATAACAAAATGTTCCTTCGTGGATTAGAACCTTAATCAATTAGATTCATTGTTTGGGATATTACTACACAGCTATTCAAACCATGTGGTTTCTCTGCTTATTTTAATTATTATATAATACACCCGATTGATTATATATATATATATATATATATATATATATATATATATATATATTACTATAGTGACTAAAACTGATCTAATAGTGTTTACAAAACTCACTTACTTCAAGCATTCTTTAGTTGTTTAACACGTTTTGTTATTCAGAGCATAAACATATATCAGGTTAAAGTAAAATATGAAAAGAATAAACTTGATCACTTTTCTAGACAGTGTTTCACATTATGTTAAAAAATAATAATAAAGAACATACGGTTAGAGAAGAAAACAATAGAGAACTAAAACTCATGTCAGATGCCCTAGGATTGTTATAACTTGTGACCTGAGTGCCCTTGCGAATGTATAACGTAATGATACCGCCAATTAGAGAGCAGTGAATTATCGATCGAACCAATGATGCATAAAACCCGTGTGAGCACCCTAGAGTGCTGATTGATCCTGCTTTCCGCCTAGCCCATCCAAGTGAGTCTAGAACATCTATCTCAGTCTCTGCAATATGAATCCTTATATTCCAAACTTACTGAGTTTATATAACAGTCAAACAGACCACGACGTACCAATAAAATATGAAACAACATTTGTACAAGATTTAGCCAGATGTGGCTGTGTATGAGGTAGGCAGTGACTAATAGACAGGGCATAATTCAATAGTAGATCGTATAATAATAGTTCATAGAGGGACATGAATATGAACAGTTTAGTTACTTAACAATTATACGATAAAAATATACGTAAAATATTGATCTACAAATGGATCCCAAAAGTTACCACTCATCATGCTTATCCGGACATAACAAGGATAAAGATTGATTTTAGTAGGAAATGACAACCTACATTATCCTAGTGGAATTTAAATCGTCTAATGTGAAATAATGACTATTCAGTTGTTGTTGTTGTTTTTAAACAAATTTCATCCTATATCCAAGGTTATCAGCTAATGTAAATTTTAATAGTTGAATTCATGAACCGATTTAAGTTAGATCATCATTGAAAACCTGGAAGTATTAGACAGTTATTTCATTCTATTATGAGATATCTCGGTAGTATGCACGATTCCTACACACAGGACTCGAACCTCTGACCTTCGGTCTTGTACGCGAACACTTAACCTGAACTATTAGATTGCAAACCTTTTCTTTAACCATGGATACACTTTGAATAATAAAGTATAAACTTGAGCGATGAGTTTGTAATTAATCGAAAGACTAAACATATACCGATAGGTAATTCAATAAACAAATTATTTATTAACTACATTTATTTATTTAAACACATAAACATTGATACAATGAGGCACCAATTAGATATACGCCATATAAATCATTTGATTTGTATAAGGGCTAGGATACTGTTCGGGTGCCAAAAGTGAAACAGGTTATTCACTACATACAAAACAATTAAAGATAATAATTCATCATATTATAATCCTTCTCTGATGTACAATTCATTTTGACAACTTTGAAATGTTATTACTTATAATGTCTAACATAGTATAATATGGTCTTTTTGTACATTATCATGGTTGATTATCGCCCTAAAGTAGGGTCCTATAATTTCGTATGTACCTGTATCTATTTGAAACTGTACAGTTCGATTATAACTTCATTAACAATTCCCTTAGATTGAGATCATGAACTCCCATATACTGATAATGTCCTTAGAATTTTATATTGAAAAGGAATTCTAAAATGAATAACATTGAAATGGTCAATGGAAGATAAATAATATAACATAAGTGGTATATTGACACCAAAAAAATAATTGATTTGAAGTTAGCGAGGGAAACTTATACACAGTGGAATGTCAGATAAAAGTAGGGGTTTGTTCATTAGGTAAGGCATGTATCATAATGAGGAAAGACGTAAATTGAATGTAAGATGATTACTTAATAATAACAAGTAGTATAAAATACAATCATAAATTTATGAGCCTGATGGGATTACTGGTGAGACTAATTTATAGATGACCTTCAAGGGACTCTAAATTGACCTATTTGCTAGGACTAATAAAGATTATAAACCAGTATGGAGAATAAAGATTATGATTTACAATAGATGGTTAGGGTTACGAATTATATTTAGGGTTTTAATCACGAACCGAAATCAGGTAAAATGCTGAAACTCTATTTAAAGGTTAAATAAATTTCACTCTAAAATTATAAAATTTATTATCGTAAATCTAATTGATTTATCCACAGTCTCATCAGAATTTACATCATTTCTTGAAAGTAGCCACTATTGAGCATACGATAATTATCAGCACATGATTGTAAAGACTTTGAATAGTCAACAATATCTACCTACAATATAGATACTTTTAAATTGGCCGAAAGGTTGTAAATATCACTGAAAAGGGATTTTTTTCCATACGGATCATTAATATTAAACAATAAAATCAATATATTATCAAACATTCTATGTATCACATAATAACTTACTCTTCATCAGATCCTGATGATTCCAGTTCACTGGAATATTCAATTGTTCCTTGATTAACTTCAATTTTTGGTAGTTTTTGTTTAATTTCATCCATAATTTACTTTTATGAATCAAATTTAGTAAATATTTTGTTTTGAGTTTGATTTAACTGAAAGGAATGGGTTTTTAACAGAGATAATGAGAGAATTGTGATGTTAAAATGATTTTTAAAAAAGTATAAGTTTAAAGAAAACTAAACAATGTGATGTACGAAATATTAAACATGAGTTGGTAAATTAATGTGTATTTTATTAAATCCTATTGACAATTGTTAGATGATCTCAGGTTTCCAAATGATCAAATAAATGGGTTCATGGTTCAGATCGATAGATGATAATTCAGTAGTCACAATTGATTGATCACTGGGTAGTGATCAATGTCATGTGTGTCAAGATCATATTAGTGTAGATCGAATGCTATCGACCATGTCAATGTGGGCACCGGTCTAGGTGACTCGACATTGTGTGCACTATTGTGGTCGATGGCATTCGATCTGCACTGATAAGGACATGACACACATAACATTGATCACTACCCAGTGATCAATCAATTGTGATTACATCTCAGTCCTACAGGAGGTCGTTTGCCCCCAGGATAGCTCAGTAGTAGTGTGTCTAACTGTTAAGCTGGGTAACACGGGGTCGAATCCGTCAGGGGGCACCAGTTTCCTCAAGATTACATGGTAGTTCAATAGTGTTTTACCGATTTTATGTCGAATTAAAACAATGATATTTCATGTGAAATATTTTATGGAAGTTGTACAAAGTGAAGATTTAGTTTGAATATCTCACTACTTTACAATATTTGACGCTACTTGTTTACTTATCTCCTTAAGCCTGTTACTCTCAATGGAGCATAAGCCACTCTGTCCTGGGCCTTCGTTTCTAGTTCTATCCAATCCTTGTTCATTATTCTCATGTCTATCTCCATTTCTCGGCGTAATATGTTCTTTGATCTTTCTCTCCTCTTTTGGCTTTGAGGACTCCAAATGAGGGCTTGTCTTGTGATGCAGTTGGCAGCTTTCCTCAATGTGTGTCCTACCCACTTCCAGCGCTTCTTTCTGATTTCTTCCTCCGTTGGAATTTGGTTTGTTCTCTCCCATAGTACATTGTTGTTGATAGTGTCTGGCCAATCGATCTGAAGTATTTTGCGTAAACAGTTGTTAATAACCACTTGTATCTTCTGGATGATGGCTTTCATAGTTCTCCAAGTTTCCGCCCTATACAATAGAACTATCATATAAATTCATCCTCATTTGTGTTTTTGTATTAGTATATATGTATATTCTTAAACATATTTGATCTTATTTTCGAAATATCCTAGGTGCATCACTACTAATGAACTAATAGGTCAATCGTAAACTTATCCTTACTTCATTTAATAATCAGAAGCTAGTCCATATAATTGGTTGTTTTACTTTTCTCAAAATACATCTTACTCTCTATATTGTTCCGTTATTTAACAATCATTTTATTACGAATATTATTTTGTCAATTAAGCCATATTTCACCAATTTTAACGTTTATTAGTTCCAGAAGTAATTCTTAGAGTTCTAGTGAGAAGCTGTGACCAGTGGAGCTAATCCTTTTCAGGTAGAGACAGGTATCTAGTTCATAAAATTGAAGATGGTGGTGCAATTTCGTGGATTGGTTGAAGTTTGACATTAACACGGTTGGATATCGGCTCAGTGGTCTAAAGGTTAGACGTTCGCGAGCGAGTTGAAAGATCCTTGATCTGAATCCCTCCTACGGGATCTTGGATGCGCACTGCTGTAGGGTCCTTTACAGTTGACTGTTGGTAATATAAATGGCTTGTTAAAAAAACAGTTTCTTAAAAGCTACAGATTTCAACTTGTTAAGGTTTGTCAGCATTTTTCCAAGGGATTCAAGTGTATTGACATCAGATAGTCTAAATTCTCATTTTTCAAGTTCGTGGCAATTGTACTACAATGACTTGAGAATATTTGTGTTATTCGAAGCAAGTTTGAGTGGAAATCACCAGTCTATGTAGATTACTATAGTATTCATGATTATGTAATCACTAATTAGAGTCTATAATATTTAATGGATTTCTAAATTTGCTTGGTGTTGTTTAACTAGTATCTTACCATTGTTATTGAGGACTGCAATTCGTCAGTCTCATGTTAGCATATGTGCATCTTATGCGGATTGCCTCTATATAGCCTTGAGTCAAGCATTTTGAGTAAAGATGCAGTGGTTAGCAGTGGAATCCAGGACTCGAACCCAGTACCGTTTGCTTCAAACACCATCGCGTTATCTACTTGAATGGGTAAACACCAACTCTAGTATGCAGGTACATTCAGTTGACGAGTCCTGGGACGAAACACGCGTCCTGGATTCCACTGCTACCCACTATTCATGTTTGTTTAGTGGATTTCTGTTTATCAATACAATTATTTAATAACCATTAAAAAAAGGTCTATAATTTATCTGAACCCGTTAAACAAAGAAAGAATGACACGTTTATCCGATAATTGCTACAACATTGATTATTAACCTCTTTAAACCTTCAAATTCACTCGATTCATTAAATAGATTCCTCACAAAAAAGTTTTCGACGAATTAGGAGTCACAAAAATTCCAATTATATTTGAACTATTACTAATCGGTGATATAATTTTGTTAATAAACTCAATGAAATGAAACGGCTGTCTAATGCGTCCAGGTTTTCCATGGTGGTCTAGTTTCAAGTGACTTATGATCTCAACTATTGAAATTACTACAGTCTTCACAAAATCCCTTCTTATTCAGACCCATTGCAAGAATATGGTTACTCATTAGATGGTAGTTGAAGGTAGTCAACAAGAAACCCTGGACTAGGGTTTCGTGCTATTCGGCACTCGTCAGCAAGGTATACCTGTGATCTTGAGAGGACTGGTGCTCTCTGACGGATCCGATCCAATGTCGCCCAGCTTCATATTAAGAGACGTTATCACTGGGTTATCCGGGCAGCGAACGACCTCCGGTAGGATTGAAATGTAGTCACAATTGATTGATCACTACCCAGTGATGGTTACTCATTCCTGAAAAGCTCCATAATAACATAATATAACTAACTATCCAGGTTTTATTTTGTCTTAAACAGTTATTTATCCCCTATCCTAAATAGAAAACACTTAGACATAATGAAAAATCAATTACTTCCTATATAAAATCAAATAAAAGACACGAAATGCAATAAAAAAACCACCGTCTATAATTTTTATTCTCGACATAATTTTATGATCAATCCACTTGGAACTGAGAAACATAATAAAACTTTAAATTGTTTTTTTTTGTTGCTTTGTGCAAATAGTTTAATCTCACTATTTTCACTTAAATAGTCGGAACCATTAGTCAATTGAGGCTAGACCACCGTGGAAAACCTGGAAGCACTGGACAGCCGTTTCTTCCTAGTATGGGACTCCTGAGCAGTACGCATCCACGATGCCAACCCCCCCGAGAGATTCGAACCCACGACCTTTCAAGTGAAGTTAGACATTAACACCGTTGTACGCCGGCCGGCTCGGTGGTCTAGTGGTTAAGGGCTCACGCGCGAGACTAATAGGTCCTGGGATCGAATCTCACGGAGTGCGGGATCATGGTTGTGCACTGCCAAGGAGGAATCCCATACTAGGACAAAACGGTTGTCTAGTGCTTCCAGGCTTTCCATGGTGGTCTAGCTTCAATCGGCTCATGATTTGAGCTATTGAAATTACTAAAATCTTCACAAAAAACCTCTTCTAATTTTCACTTAACTTAAACATGCAGCTCAACGATTAAATTAATAATCACTGAATTAGTTATGTATGAAAGTAGGATACACTTAAGTTGAATCTTATTTAGTACATTAAAATTGAGCAAATTGCTCACTTAAAGCTTTTAGGATTATTCTTCATCAAAAAGCAAAACAAAACAAAACAAATAGGATAGTAATGATGTAAGTAAATCATAAAATGGATAATTAAATACAGTCCGTTAATTATACGTTTGAAATCTTCAATGTGTTTGATCTATTTAACTATATCTGGGTTCGAATCCCACAGGGTGGAATCATGCTTGTGCACTGCCAAGGAGGAGTTCCATACTAGGATGAAACGGTTGTCTAGTGCTTCCAGGCTTTTCATGATGGTTTAGCTTCAATTATTATATTATCCACAAAAACCCCTTTGTGATAATATTCTATGACTATCACAAAGTTATGTTTTATGTTATATACAAATGTATAAATTATATTCGAAAAGAATGTAAAAGCTTTAAGTAATACCAGTCAAGTAATTTATCAAGTATACTACTGACTGTTCTACAAAGCGTTGATTTCAAGTGTCAACTTCAACTTCAATACACAAGTATTGTAACATGTTTTCAAATGAATTAATTACATGAAATTAATTATACCATATTCGATGTGCAATAAGATACTTTTTGTTTAAATTCTAAATCAGAAATTAAATCAAACTACGTTGGTAAAATGAATTTGATTATGAAGTAAAAGTTAGTCAACACTGGTGCAAGAAGGTAACAAATAGATATGCGTCACATTAACCATTCGGTTTGTGTGAGGGCTGGGATACTACCCGGTTGCCCAAACCGAAGCATGTGGTTTTCTTAGGAAGCCACACCCCCAGCCTTTGACCCAAAGATCTAATCCACAAGGTAGTGGAACAATGTAAGGAGATGCAGTCCCATGGTAGTCGGTGACCAACAATAGGTTCATATGCCATTTGTTCCTTTAGGATCCTGGAGCCCATGTGCACGATTGGTTTGGAATGAGGGTTTTCCAATTCCCCTAGATGTACTCTCGGTGCCCACCAACCCGTTTAAAGCACTGGACATCCACTTTTTGTCCTCTCAATTTCGTAAACAACACCCATGGTGTGAGAATGCAAATAAGTGTGTAAAAATGTAATTGAGTTAGTGAATTAAACAACCAATTTAAGTAGTCTGTGATTTTTGGACACAATTTTCGATAATTACTACACAAACTTATTTTATTATTGAAATCCTGGACCGATCTAAGTTAGATCACAACGGAAAAAATTTCAAGCACTAGATA